TGGCTTGTAAGTCTTCCTGGGCTTCCCTTGATGGGCTGGGGAGGAGCAAGTGAGCATGGTTCACTTTGAACCCTGTTACAATGGCATGGAGCCTGGATTCCTCAAGGCTAGCCCCGTGTTATATACACTTTGGCAAATCTCCAAAAGCTAGAAAGGGTTTGGAGTATGAGTTAACAAACTGACAATGCCTGTTGTCTAAAGAAGAGCCTAGTTAAGTATGGAGAGACTCATCACCAATTGGGCCACCTAATATTTTGTCTGGGGTGAATAAATTCCTTTCAATTCCATTTATGTCCCTGACAGCCAGTTGGAGGTTCCCAGAGATTACTTTCTTGCTGCTACACTCAGTTCTTTATCTTTCTCATAAGTAAAGTTTATGCTTAATTGAGAGTAGGTCTGGCTTCACATGTATAAAGGGTATCATATTTCTTGCCTGCTCAATGGGTGGGGAAAAGGGTGGAGGAAGGAAGAGATTTGAGAACGGAAAATAAAAACAAAACATATAAATTTTAAAAAAGAAAGGTCTGGAAATTGCTTTCATAAAAGCTAGATCTTGAAAGGGATTCTAGAGAGTTTTGTTGTGGTTTGCTCACGTACAACTGTTCATGACCTCATTGGGGGTCTTCTTGGCAAAGTTACTGGAATGGTTTGCCATTTCCTTCTCCAGGTAATTCTACAGATGAGGAATTGAGCAAAACAGGATTAAGTGACTTGCTAATGGTCAGACAGCTAGTTAGTGTCTGAAGGTTAGATCTGAATTCATGAAAATGAGTCTTCCTGACCACAGGCCCAGCCTTCTATCCACTATGCCACCTAGCTGCCCCATTCTACAGAGCATATAGTTACAAAGAAGAATAAAATCTCAGAGTAGCATATAAATAAGATGCTAACCTAGTCCCATTTTGGATGACATGACTGGCCACTTTACCCAGCAGCTGAAATGAGACTTCTCATTATTTTAAACAATAAACCACCAGGACATAAGTCAATTTAATTCAATCAACATTTACTAAAAGCTTGTTTTGTGTAAGACAGTATGCTAGGCATTGGGGATCACTGAAATAGAACTGTCTGTGCCCTCAAGGGGCTACAGTCGACTGGAGGATTACATGTACATAGGCAAGGATATATGAAATATACACAAGGTAATTCAAGTAATTTCAAGAGGTAGAAAGTTATAACAGTGAAGGGTGAGCAAAGGCCTCATGTAGGAAGTAGAATCTGAGCCCTGCCTTGAAAGAATGCAGGATAGCAGCTCATACAAAGACCAAGAGGAGAAATGGAACGTTAGGTGTGGGGAATACCTATGAAGCCAGAACAGAGCAGAATCAGAGACTCTTCGAGAATTACAGAAATATGTGGAGGTTTATGAGTCTGATGACAAACGGTAAGTCCATAAACCTTACTACCTAAGAATAGCGGCGGGGTAATGCATTTAAAAAAAAACAACTATAGAAACTCTGGAAAGGTCATGGAAAAGTTTCTATCACAAAAGGTAGTATCTACATTGATTAAATCAGATATCACTAAATATGGTTATTTGTGGATCACAGCTTAAGAGTAGGAATTGAAGCATATAAAATTTGTATCTTCTCCAATGCCCAGCATGGAACTCTGAACAATAAATACTCGATAAACGTGTTTTGGAGGAATGATTTAAAAATCTCTCCACCCAAAAAGAATCAGTTCTCAGTTTCTCTAGAAGTGCTCTCCAAACTTTTTTGACCATACAGCTTTATCAATAAAAAATATTTGAGCAAGCACCTCCCAACATATATACATTTATAAAATAAATAATATTGTGCTAATAATTACATGTATAATGTACACACAGACATAAAAGTATATTTTAAAATAATGTGAAATAAATTATTTTAAATAACTTGCTAACAGTGCAAAAACACCTTTTCCCTCTTAATAATGGTATTTTTGTGAGAAAAACATAACTGAATATTCTTCATTATTTTTCAAAAACTGGATTTAACACTTTGCGATACAGCGATTTAAAGGTTCAGTTCAAAGTTCAGTTTATTTTAACACTTTGCTTTAAATGCTGTCATAGCTTAAATGGCAAGGCTCCAGACTATTAAGAGAACCTAACAAAATGGCATTTCTAAAAGGCAACAGGGATGACTAAGAGGTGAAAATAAAGTTTTATTCTCTACCTCATTACCTTCATGCTTTCTTTCCTAATCCTAAAACAACCACCTTGCTACTCAAGAAAAAAATGTCCCTAGTTCCTGGAAGTGCCACCTCCTACAAGAGGCATTTCTGGATTTCTCATTGTTCATACTGTGCCTCCAGATCCCTTCTTCTAAATTACTTTGTACTAATTTCGTATGTACTATGTGTGTACATGTTTTCCCCCCTAGCAAAATGTGAACTCCTTGACGGGCGCCATTTTATATTTGTCTGTGTATCTGTCCACGGTTCCAGGGCCTAAAACTTACAGACTGGGGGGCACACATATGCTTAAATGCTCACTGAAGTATCTCTTTTCGTATGCCTCTTTCTCTCATGTAGTTTTTATCTGCAATGACAGGCTGAGCAACAAGAGATCATCAAGGAATGATATCTATCTTCACCTTGTTTGTAAAAGATGCTCTGTGAGAGATTTTACCAGCAGGACCGGAGAAGCCCCAAATGTGTCTTTCTCTGAAGTCTGCTCCATAGAGTGTCTCACTTTTTAAACTGTGCACCTTAAAGCACACCAGTGTTGAGGATTCTACTAGTATTCCCCATGGCTAAACTCACCCCTTCAACTCCCATGATATCCTTAGTATTTAACAGAGCCTGAGACATAATTGGTGCTTAATAAAGACTGACTGGTCTTTGGGAAGAGAAAATGACTGCATTTGGCAGCTACTCTTGGCTTCTCTCTCTGTTACAAAGGTCACTGGGAAAAACTTCCTAAGCAGGCAAAGTTCGTTGCAGTGGGCATAGGGGAGGGAGGAGAAAGGGGGTAGGTATTGAGCCCTTTGGCAGCTGGGTGGCACAGTGAGAGTGAAAAAGACCTGAATTCAAATCCAGCCTCAGACACTTACTAGATGTGTGACCCTGGGCAAGTCACTTAGATCTGTTGGCCTCAGTTTTCTCATCTGTAAAATGAGCTGGAGAAGGAAATGGCGAATCCCTCTAGTATCTTTCTCAAGAAAACCCCAAATAGGGTCTTGAAGAGTTGGACGCTACTAAAATGAATGCAAAACAAAAACTGAGCTTTTAGTGACCAAGGGGAGGACAGGACCAGGAAAATCAAGGGTGTAACACCCCAGGGAACATCTAAAACTTTAATTAGCCCCTCCTCCCCACTCCGAGAAACCCAACTCCTTAGTATCCTGCTGCTACAAATTAACCTAATGTCTAGACTTTCCAGCTAAATAATATATTGGGCCTTCCTAGCAGAGGCTGTATGGAACCAACCGCCCAGTTTACAGCAGTCCCAATCAGCGTAGCCTTAGGCAGCACAGCCCTGCATATACCTGGGGGCTACACTGGGGAGATGGCTGTGGGCATGGAAATGAGAAAAAGAGGGCATTGAACATGGAGCCCAAGTCAAGATCCAGCTGGGGAGTGGGTAGGGCCAGTCTCCTTTCTCCATTTTAAGTGGCTGGGGTAATAGAGGTATTACCTGAACCCTCCTGAGTAACTGCCTAGGTAAGCAGGGACAATGGGTGGCACAGACAGCTTCCTACTGACAGTCCAAACCTACTCAATCTTCTGAGTGTGCTCAATCCTGCTACAAGTTACCGAGGAATTGCACTGTATTACATGCCACTTCTTCCACTTTTTGCAGCTGCCAGATAAAAAATAAATATAAAACGAGGTTCTAATATCTTCCCTCCACATCCTCACAGATCGTCTTGCATACCACAAGGATTGCACAACCCACTTCAGAAGCTTCTCTAGAAGATATTATAAAAATACTGATCACATCAAACTTAAAAGCAGTGTATGGAGACAAGATATAACTGATCTAACCATTTTTCTTATTGTTTGAATAAGAAGAAACAAGTCTTTCTTCAAAAGGGCAAGGTTTCTACAAGGTATATAAATGTGGGAGGCCCTCAATATTCACGAGGATAAAAAGATACATGCTCAAGGGAATCCCCCCAAGTCTCTCTGAGTACCCACAGGAACATGGAGAATGGGGAGGGAGGAGTCACCAAGGAGCATGTCCATCAAGAAAATAAATGCTATCCAAAAATACAGCTAGGTATTGTATCCAGAATAAGAGTTGTGATGGTTCCATTGTATTGGTCTGAAAAGACCTCATCTAGAGCCTGTGCTTGGCTCTAGGGGTCACATTTTAGAAAGGATTTAAGACAACCTAGAGTGTGGCCAATAGCCAGTGATGAGGGTGGCAAGGCTAGATATCATGCCGTAAAAAGACTAGTTGACACACCAGGGAATGTATATCCTGAAGAAAAAGCTTAGAGAGGATGTTAGTTGAAGTATTTGTAGAGCTTTCATGTAAGTATTACATTATTTTTTTTCTGTTTATTACCAGCAGTCAGAACTAATAGTAGAACTATCAGAGCTGTCCAAACTTAAGAGTGGACTGCCTTTGATCAGGTTTTCCCTCACTGGGGTTCTTTGAGAAGAGACTGGATGACCACTTATCAGTGACACTCAAAATCAAATAATTGATAATATAGGAGTTGTATAATAAAAAATAAATCCTTTTTTGAAAGGATTACCAAACTAGTAGATGAGGGGACTGCCACATAGTTTACCAAAACTGTAGCAAAATTTTTGATAAAGTATTTAACACTATTCTTGTAGAAAAGATGGAGTGGTATCAATTACACAATAATATAAATAGATGGATTTGAAACTGGTCGAGTAGCTAAATTGAAAGTGTGGTTATTAAAAAAAAAGAAAGTGTGATCATTAATTGTCTAACATCATTAAGGAGGTCTCGGGGCAGCTGGGTGGCACAGTGGATGGAGCACTGGCCCTGGAGTCAGGAGGACATGAGTTCAAATCTGACCTCAGACACATAACATTCACTAGCTGTGTGACTCTGGGCAAGTCACTTAAGCCCAATTGCCTCACCAAAAAATAAATAAATTAGGATGTCTCCAGTGGAGTACTCCAAGGATCTGTGCTTGGTTTTGTCCTATTTAACATTTTTTCAATGACCTGGCCAAAGGCAACTTATTAAACACATAGACGACAAAGCTAGAAAGTAAAACTAACATTATGGGTGAGAGACTCAGGACTTAAAAGGATCTTAACAGGCCTAAGCATTGGGATGAATTTAAAAAGATAAAACTGATTAGGGATAAATATAAAACCTTGCATTTGGATAAAAAAATATCAACTTTACAAGTATTTATAACATGAGGAAGTCATGGTTAGAAATTCATTGTTCTGAAAAAGATCTGGGGTTCTGGGTGAACCACAAGTTCAATATGAGTCAGCAGTATAATGTGGCAGCTTAAAAAATGCTAAAACAATACTGAGCTGCATTAAGAGGAATACGACTTAAAGGAATAGGAAAATGATTATCCTACTGTACTCTGCCATTACAAGACCTCATGGAATATATTGTATTCAGTCCTTGGCATCATGGTTTAAGGACTGATCAGTTGGAGAGTGTCCAAAGAAGGGCAAGCAGGATGATGAAGGGCCCTGGGTCTGTGTCTGTTGAAGGGATTGAGCATGTTTGGACATATTTGGTCTGGAGAAGAGAAGAAAAGGGACCAATTACTGTCTTTAAGCCTCTGATGAGCTATCCTGTGGAAAAGGGATTAGATTCATTCTATTTCACCTCAGAAAACAAAGTTAGAGGCAATAGGTAGAAGCTGCGTAGAAGCAAATTTAAGCTTATAATTTAGGAAAACTTCCTAGCAACTAGAGCTGTATAAAAGTGGAATGGACTATCTAACGAGGTGGTAGATTACCCCTCCTTGGAAGTCAAGTCAGAAAATTGGTAACTTCTTTGACAGGTATGTCACAGTGAGATCTTTCTTAAATACGTGGGTTGGAGCAGACAGAAACTGAAGTACCTTCAAACTTTCAAAATACTGTGATTAAGTAAAGGATTTCCCACACTTAAGACTTTCAAATGGTTTCTTTGACCCCAGCATGAATTCTCTCAGATTTAGTAAATTGTTTAAGGCAAATACAGGATTCTCTACATCCACTGTTCAAAGGTATTTCTCCGGTATGAATGCTCTGATGCAGCAGATCACAAAAACTGTAGGTGAAGGCTTTCCCTCACTCATTGCCTTAGAAGTATTTCCTTACCAAAGTATCAATTAATTCTCTTCATGCTCAATAAGATATCTACTTCTTGAAAAGAAATGCCATCATTATAACATCTGAAATTTCTCTCTCCAGTATGAGTTCTCTTGTCCTCATTGTTTTCCACTCCGAAAAAGAAGTATATGTAAAAATATTCTGTCTACTGAGTTCCTCCTGTAGAATTAAAATTTATAACTTTGAAGGTTTTTCCACTGATTATATATATTTAAAGATTTCTTTGTAGTAATATAAATATTCAAGTTCAGAAGGCTGTTTGTGTTAAATAAGATTTCTTACACAGCCAAAAAAATTTCTATCAAATATGGATTTTCTCATGTCGAGTAAGTTGAGAGCTCTGCCTGAAGGATTTCCCACATTGATGACATTCAAACGGTTTCTCTCCAGTATGAATTATCTGATGTACAGTAAGGTGGGAATTTTGCCTAAAGGCTTTTCCACACTGGTTACATTCAAAAGGTTTCTTTGCTCCAGTATGAATTCTCTTGTGTTCAGTAAACTGTCCCTTCCAGGTAAAGGATTCCCCACATTCATTACATTCAAAAGGTTTCTCTCCAGTGTGGATTCTCTTATGTAGAGTAAGGGACTTGTTCCAGCTAAACGATTTCCCACAATCATTACATACAAAGGGTTTCTCTCCATTATGAATTTTCTGATGTACGGTGAGGTAAAAACTGCAGCTAAAGGCTTTGCCACAGTCATGACATTCAAAGGGTTTCTCTCCAGTATGAATTCTCTTGTGTGTGGTAAGCTGGCCACTACGGCTAAAGGCTTTCCCACATTCATGACATTCAAAAGGCTTCTCTCCTGTATGCACTCTCTTATGTTCAGTAAGGGATCCACTCCAGCTAAAGGATTTCCCACATTCAAGACATTTAAAGGGTTTTTCTCCAGCATGCATTTTCTTATGTGCACTAAGCATCCAACTATGGCTGAAGGATTTTCCACATTCAAGACATACAAAGGGTTTTTCTCCAGTATGAACTCTCTTATGCAGAGTAAGCTGCCCACTACGGCAGAAGGTTTTTCCACATTCATTACATTCAAAGGGTTTCTCTCCAGTATGAATTCTCTGGTGCTCAGCAAGGGACCTGCTCTGGGTAAAGAATTTGTGACATTTGTAACATTCAAAGGGTTTCTCTCCAGTATGAATTCTCTGATGCACACTAAGGTTAGAATTTCGGCTAAATGCTTTCCCACATTGATTACATTCAAAGGGTTTCTCTCCAGTATGAATTTTTTTATGTGTACTTAGCCGCCCACTATCACTGAAAGATTTCCCACATTGGTGACATTTAAAGGGTTTCTCTCCAGTGTGAATTCTTTGATGTACAGTAAGGTGAGAGCTTCGTCGGAAAGTTTTTCCACACTGATTACATTCAAAATATTTCTTTTCAATATGAATTCTCTTATGTTCAGTAAGTTGCTCACTACTGACGAAGCATTTTCGACACTCATGGCATTCAAAGGGTTTCGATCTAGCATGAACTCTGTGATGTACAGTAAGGTAAGTGCTTCGGCTAAATGCTTTTCCACATTGACCACATTCAAAGGGCTTCTTACCAGTATGAATTCTCTTATGTGTATTAAGCTGCCCTCTCTGGCTGAAGGATTTCCCACAGTCATGACATTCAAAGGGCTTCTCTCCAGTATGAATTCTCTTATGAGAACTAAGCTGCTCACTACGGAGGAAGCACTTCCCACATTCCTGGCATTCAAAGGGTTTCTTTCCAGAATGAATTTTTTCATGTCGAATAAGCTGAGAAATTTGGCTAAAGGCTTTCCCACACTGATTACATTCAAAGGGCTTCTCTCCAGCATGAATTCTCTTGTGTTCAATAAGCTGCTCACTAAAGCTAAAGAATTTCCCACACTGGTGACATTCAAAGGTTTTCTCTCCAGCATGAATTACCTGATGTACAGTTAGGTGAGAACTTTGCCTGAAAGCTTTCCCACACTGATTACATTCAAAGGGTTGCTCTCCAGTATGAATTCTCTTATGTACAGTAAGATAGCTCTTCCACCTAAAGGATTTCCCACACTGATTACATTCAAAGGGTTTCTCTCCTGTATGAATTCTCTGATGACTTCTATGGGATTTTCTATTGGTGAAGAATTTCCCACACTCATTACATTTATATACTTTTTCTTCACTGTGCTCTTTATTAAAGTAAATAAGGTATGAAGGGCAACTGAATGACTTGCTGCATATATTACAATTACAAAGATTATTCTTGCAAAAGACTCTATCACCTTCATCTAGGTCTGAATACTGTTTTACGTTCTTTCCATACGTACCACATTCCTGCAGACTTTTTCTAGTGTGAACTCCCTCTTGTGAACTCTCTTGTGAAACAAGGATTGACCCCAGACTGGAACAACTTTCAAACACAGACTTGGTAGAAATTTCTCTGTGCATAGTGGTCTCTTGACTGGCTTGTCTGTCCTGACTGCAATTCTTTTGTTCTACTCTGACATCCTGTTCACAGGCTTCTCCCATTTGGTATTCCCAGGAACCATCTGTCTTAACTCTTTCTTTAGATGACTCTTCTGGAGAAACACATGGATTTACAGTTGACTCTGCTGTTTCATGCCTGGCCATCTGACTAAGGAACTCTGAAAGAAAGGAAAAAAGTGTCAGTTTCCAATGTGCTGGGTGAGAGGAATTTGCTTTACAATGTAAATTCTAGATCTTATTTTTCCTCCTAAAGAAAATGATCAAAAATTTGGAAAGGACAGAATAAATATTTAAAGGGTGCAATTCAACATTTCCCAAAATATGTTAAGATAACCAAAAAAAAAAACCCAAATCAAAACAAGTATCTCTGTTTCAACTATGTTTAAGTAACTACGACTAAGTGAATTACATTCCCCGGACACTCAAAGTACCTCTAGATGACAGAGAAACTTTATTAACAGGTCTTAATAAAGATGATTAAATTTACAAACGTTTAATTCTGGAAACCACAGAATGATTCCCAAGGGAATAATTTGCGATCTGTAATGATTGGGATCATGAAGAGATATGATATCCATAATGGCAAATTCTTAACCCCTAAAAGCTAGTATGGAAACTTTGAGAAATCCAGAACTTCAGAGTACATGAGTTTGAGCTGAGAGTGTGTTTGGATTCCTAACACACAACAACAGGTTAAAGTCTTCCAAGATGTCATTTTAGATATATGGAGAAATATCAGTACGAAATGGGTTATGACTGATGGATTGATAGCCATTTCAAACACCCCATTCGGTCCTGTCAAATTAACATGATTGGAGGTTTCTTATGTTGTGTCTCAGGTCTCTGTATTTGGCCTTTTCAACATTTTGACAACTTCCATGATAACAACTTGACTACAGTCTCAACATATGTTGTGGCCACTAAAACCTTAGCAGCCGGTCTGTTGTTCAGCTTCCAGAAAGTAATTGTGTCACTGCAAGTTCTACTAGTTAAACCACATTTGGATTTTTGAATGCAGGTTTAAAAACCACATTAAAAAGGGACATGGATAAACTAGACTATTCAGAGGAATTATACCAGTCAGTCAATACACATTTATTAAGTGCTTACTTAATTCCAGGCACCATCAAGCACTGGGGAATCAAAGTAAGGCAAAAATATTCCCCAACCACAGGAGCCTTACCTTCTCATGGGGAAGATAACAAATAAATAGGCAGATGGAAGGACTGAAGGTTACCTTAGAAAGCAAAACCTTAATAGCTGGGGAGGCTAAGGGGAAGGGAGGGAATCAGACAAGCCTAGAACAGAAGGTAAAACTTGAGCTGAGACTTGAAGGAAGCCAGGGAAGCCAGGAGACAGAAGAGAGAAAGAGAGAGAGAGAGAGAAAACTCCAGGTACGAGAGATAGTTATTGACTGTTTCAATGATTTGTTGTTTGACCCGCTCATTCTTTAGGATTGGATTATTTAGTTTCCAATAAATTTTTAGTCCATCTTTTCATGGCCCTTTATTACACGTAATTCTTATGGCATTGTGCGCTGAAAAAGGTACATTTGGTATTTTGTCTTTCTGCATTGGATTGTGAGGTTTCTATGCTCTAATTTTTCTAAAATTCTATTCCCCTCCTTAAATTCTTTCTTGTTTATTTTATGGTTAGATTTATCTAGTTTTGAGGGGTGGGTTGAGTTCCCCCACTAGCAGTTTTGCTGTCTATTTCTTCTTGTAACTCACTTAACTTCTCCTCTAAGAATTACAGTTATGATTACTATGTCTTTCTCTCCACCCTATTTTTTCTGGTTTATACTTTTCTCTCTCATTCTTTCACTCCCCACCAGTGTTTTGCTTCCGACCACCACCTCCTTTAATCTGCTATCCCTTCTATAGCCTCCCTCCCTTTTCTTTCCCATTTGTCCTCCTACTTCCTTATAGAGTAAGAGATTTCTTTCTTTTCTTTTCTTTTCTTTTTCCCAAGGCAGTGGGGTGAAGTGACTTGCCCAGGGTCACACAGCTAGTCAATGTCAAGTGTCTAAAGCCAGATTTGAACTCAGGTCTTCCTGAATCCAGGGCCCATGCTCTATCCACTGTGCCATCTAACTCCCCAAGCAAGATAGATTTCTATACCCAACTGAATGTGTATGTTATTCCGTCTTTGAGCCAAATCTGATGAGAAAAAGGTTCAAACACTGCTCCCTTCCCCTCCCTTCTTTCCAACTACTGTAATAGCTCTTCTTTGCCACTTCATGTGATGTAATTTACCCTATTCTGCCTCCCCTAGCACAATCCTTCTTTTCATCCCTTAATTTTTTTTATATCACCACATCAAAATCAACATGTACCCACACTCTCTATGTATACCTCTTCTAATTGCCCTAATACAGATGCAGTTCTCAAGAGTTATATATATCATCTTCCCATGTAGGGATCTAAACGGTTTAACCTTACTGAATAACATTTTTTTTCTTTTCTGTTTCTCTTTTTATGCTTTTCTTGAGTTTTGCATTTGAAAATCAAATTTTCTGTTCAGCTCCGGTCCTTTCACCAGGAGTGATTGGAAGTCCCTTATTTCATTGAATGTCTATCTATCCTCCTGAAAAATTATGCCCAATTTTGCTACACAGTTGATTTTTGGTTGTAATCCAAGTTCCTTTGCCTTCCAGAATATCATATTCCAAGCCTTCTGATCTTTTAATGTAGAAGCCGCTAAATCCTATGTAATCCTGACTGTCACTCCTTGATGTTTGAATTGTTTCTTTCTGGCTGCTTGCAGGATTTTCTGTTTGACCTGGTAATTCTGGAATTTGGCTACCATATTCCTTAGAGCTTTCATTTGGGATCTCTTTCAGGAGGTGATCGGTAGATTCTTTCAACGACTACTTTACCCTCTGGTTCTAGGATATCAGGGCAACTTTCCTGGATAATTTCTTGAAAGATGCTGTCCAGGCTCTTATTTTGATCGTGGCTTTCAGGCAGTCCAATAATACTTTTCTCACTTGTTGGGGTTTTAGCCCAGTACTTCTTCAATCTCTCTCTTGGATCTACTTTCCAGGTCAGTTGTGTTTCCAACGATGCATTTTACATGTTCTTCATTTTTTTCATTCCTTTGACTTGGTTTCATTGTTTCTTGATCTCATGGAGTCATTAGCTTCCATCTGCCCAGTTCTGATTTTTGAGTTATTTTCTTCAGCTAGCTTCTGTGCCTCCTTTTCCATTTGGCCAATTGTATTTTTTAAGGAACTGTTTTCTTCAGTCAATGTTTGTCCTTCCTTTTCCAAGCTATTGACTCTCTCTTGCATATCTCTCATTTCTTTTCCCAATTTTTCTTCTGCCTCTCTTAGTTGACTTTTAAAATCCTTCTTGAGCCCTTCCAAGGCGGCTTTTTGGGCTTGAGACCAGTTCATATTCCCCTTTGAGGTTTCAGGTGTGGGTGCATTGACAATGCTATCCTCTTCTGAATTGGTGTTTTGATCTTCCCTGTCACCATAGTAACTTTCTATGGTCAACATTCATTTTTGCTTCTTATTCATTTTTTAGGGGCCTATTTGGCTGCTTTTAAAGTTGAGCTCTTCTCCTGGGGCACAGATGGCACTGTCCCAAGCTTATCGTGCTGGGGACTAGGAGCCTGGTAACTGGCTTCGTGCGCTGAGGCCTCAAGTGCTGGCGACTTGCTCACTGCATCTAGCCTGGCCTAGTCACACCTGTTTTCGCCTGGTTTCCAGGGCCAGCAACTTACCTTCTGCACTAGGGCTAGAGGCCTCACAGCTTGCCTGCTGTGCCACTGGCCTGCTCAGCCAGAACCGAGGGGCCTCAGTTGCTGATCTGTGCTGCACCTAAGAGCCTCCCACTGACTTGTCTGAACACCGGCTGTGTTGGGCTACGCTCCTTGAGGGCAGGTTATCTTTCGCCTCTTTTAGCATCCCTAGAGCTTAGCATAGCATAGCATGGCACACAGTAGGTGCTTAATAATGTTGATTGACTGATGCAATACTGCACAGGGACCATCCCTCCAAAATGAACAGCTCAGCTGTGACTCCCATCCTCCTGTTTTTCACTCACTCACCTGGACAGGGATCACTGGAGTCCTTTCCCTCCAACATGCTTGGTGATTCTCCTCTTTCTAACTGGAAGATCACATCTGGTTTAGACACCTGAAGCCCTGTTTATGGAGTGAGATGTGAAAAAGTACATTGGGCAGTTATCTCAGAATTCAAGCCCAGGCTCTTCTGAGAGACCTTGGTTCAAATTTCACCTAATCCTTCTTAGCTATATGATTTCACTTAATCACTTTCACAAGTGATTATGATTTCACAAATCACTTAGTCTCTTTGGGACTCAGTTTCCTCACTTGGAGAATAGGGATAAAAGGACCTACAGAACCTACCCTACAGGGTGGCTGTGAGGACCAAATGGGATAAGGAATACATAGAATGCTTTCCAAACTTCAGAATTTCACAAAAATGTCTGCTGGCATAACTATTAGTATTTTTCCAAGTCAAGGAGAAGGTGTACTAAGAAGACCCAGCAGGCCACATACAGAAAGGAGCTTTGTAGTATTATCTGTGTATTTTAGTTATGTATCAAGGCACTGATTTTCTGTCTCCCCCACCCCCATTCCAATCCCTCTTAATTCTAGTGCCTCTCCTCTGTTAACTATTTCCTATTTATCCTGTATATAGCCGGTCTGTTTGTATGTGTTTAAATGTTGTCTCTCTGTTAGACTGCAAGCTCCTTGAGGGCAGGGCCTATCTTTTGCCTCTTTTTGTATCCCCAGCACTTAACACAGTGCCTGGCACTTGGTAGGTACTTAATACAAGTCTGCTGACTGGCCATGCCTAGAATGCCCTCACTCCTCAGCCCTACATCTTAGAATCCCTGGCTTCCTTCAGCTCAGCTCAAATGCTAACTTTGCTAGGAGGCCTATCTGCATTCCCACAGCAGCTGAAGCCTTCCCTCTAAGGCTATCTTTCATCTTCTATGAACTTGTAGATATCTACTTATCTGCATGCTGTCTACTCTCTTACAAAAGAAGGTCTCTGAGGGCAGGGACTGTTTTGGTCTTTCCAAAACCAGTCCTTGCCTGGACAGAACCAGTCCCAAAGTCATCATGTAATTAATGCTCACTGACTGATTATGTGTGACAGAGTGGAGAGGGTCTCCAAAGGAAAATGTGCTCACAGGAACTGATCTGACAGAGGGATGGAGGGTGGGGGTGGAGAAGAAAGGGAACAGGTAGTTCTATGGCACCTACTTTGGGCCAAGCACTCTGGGCTAAGCTCTTTACAAATATGGTGTGCTTTGATTCTCACAACCCTGGGGGGCAGGCACTTTTATCATCATCCCCATCTGAGATGAGAATGTTTCATATTTTCAGCTATCTGCCTTGGTCATTTGGGTGAAAATATTTGAAGCTGGAGAAGAGTGGGGAAGGTGAAGATGGGACAGGACCACGAAGCTGCCAGTTTCTAGTAGTATGAAGCAAAAGTCTTTCACTGGGAAACAAAGAACAGAAACACTCTTTGTCTTGATCCTAGAAGGATTCAGGAATCTGTATTACATACTACATTAAATAGATTCTTAGACTTCATAGAACATCAGAGTTAGCAGAGTACTTTAGAAACAACCAGGGGCTCTAGAAATTGAGACAATAAAGACTGACATGTGTGAGCACACACACCTCCTCCCAAACCCTAGGGGTCAGGTGAGGGGGGTAGAATTCTGAATTACAGAGAAAAGTTGTCCTTACCCAGGGAGACCAGGTTCCTATAATTGTCCAGCATCACTTCCTTGTATAAGTCCCTCTGAGCAGGGCCCAGGTGCCCCCACTCTTCCCTGGTGAAGTCCACAGCCACATCCTTGAAAGTCAATGTTTCCTGAAACATACAACATACCAGAAGTGATCTCTTATAAAGACATCCTTGGGGAAACAGAAAGTTAGTCTGGTTTAGAAGGAATGGTGCTCACAACATTCAAGACTCTCGTTATTCCTAATCAAATACCTCAAAAACGCCTACTATGGGACAAAATTTGTACTGGATTGGATTTTCATCAAAGGTAGTTTTGTTTCATCATTCAATGTCAAAAGTACATTCTGAGAGGCAGCTAGGTGGCACAGTGGATAGAGCACCGGCCCTGGAGTCAGAAGGACCTGAGTTCAAATCCAACCTCAGACACGTAACACTCACTAGCTGTGTGACTCTGGACAAGTCACTTAACCCCAACTGCCTCACCAAAAAAAAAAAAAAAGTACATTCTGGCTACCCAAGCAGGCCGAAAACAAGTCATATCCTCTTGTACTCATGTGGTCTTGGCCTTGTGTCTTGATACTCACCTCTAATAAAGTCATTTGGCTCCACTCAATCCAGACAGATGTGTCTTAACCAGGGAGGAGCTTAAAAGTTGGAAGTGCAATGTAGAGGAGCCCACCTTTCTCACAGAAACCCTGAAAAGCACCTGAGAAAGGCCAATGATAAAGAAAACTCAACATAAATGGAAGGTCCTCATGCAGTCCAAACTGTACAAGATGGTCACAAGCACGCAGAAGCAGGCAGAGAGTTACAATGCAACACAACTCAGGTAACATGCCCGTCAGGAAAACTGAGAAGATGGGTTGCACCAGGAAAGCCAGGGTCAATGTAGGCAATCAACCCAGAAGCCAGCAGAGGCAGGGAGAGGAATAACAGTCTGATAGTCAAAATATATATGGAATTAATAAAAATACGTAGTAACAAGGCATACGTCTCTTCTAGGGAATGAATGAGTGAAAATGCATTTAAGTACTTACTAAGCTCTAAGCATTGTGCTATGTGCTGGGGATGCAAACAGAAATAGCCAGACAGTCTTTGCTCTCAAGGAGCGCTCACTCTGACTCGGGGAGGTGACAAGTTAAACAAACTTCCGCTGTAGGGTGAATGGCAAGGCCTGCAAGTCCTAAGGGTTCATCAGCAGGGAAAATGGCAAGGCCCAGGAATTCTTAAGTCCAATAGATAAACAGTTGAAGGATATGAACAGAAAGTTCTCAAGGGAAGAAATTCAGGCTATCAGTAATCATATTTCTTAAATGTTCCAAGTCGCTAATAATAGAAGGAATGAAAATTAAAATAACTGACATTCTACCTCATACCTTTCAGACTGACAAGGATGATAACAGCAGAAAATGACACTCGTTGAGGGGCTGTGCACAGATACACACACTAATGCACTGTTGGTACGGCTATGTTTTGGTCAAGCCATATGGAAAGGAATAATATCCCAAAAGTCACTCAACCGTGCATGTCATCTGACTCATCAAAACCTTCCCTGACAGAATGCTGTGGAGGCAAGAACTACCTAGCACTCTTTTCCCTTACTACCTTTTTAATCTGCCAACATTCTCCCAACTCTGGGCTTCCCACAATCCATCTGGGTGCTTTGATGTTTGTATGACTCAGATTGAATAGGAGCCATCATTCTCCTCCTTCCAGTGAGAGGAAGGACCATGGGCCTTACCATCAGCCCTCTCTCTATGTCCTCCAGAACACCGGCACTGTCACCCAACCAAATGATGACCTACGGAGCTCTGGGCCTTGTCATTTGCCTGCTGATAAGCCTCTAAGACTTCCAGGCCTTGCCATCCACTCTGCAATGGGACTTTCTTCTACTTGTCTCTTCCAATGAGAGTAAGAGCTTCCTGACAGCAGAGACTCACACTTTTTCTTTTTGAATTCCCAACACTTAGCATAATGTTTGGAACATAGTAAGTACTTAATAAATTCATTTTTGTTCATTCATTCCCTATCAGACACATAACCCAAAGAGATCAAAGAAAGAGAAAAGGACCCAAATGAACAAAAATATTTATAGCAATACTTTTGTTGCAGCAAGGAAATGGGAGGCAAAGTAGATATCCATCACCTGGAGAGCGAATGAATGAATTACGGTATATGAACATAGTGAAGTCTTGTTACATATGAGGAATGAGGAAAGAAATGGACCTGGGAAGACTTGTATGGATCGATACAGAGTGAAGTGAGCAGAACCAGGACAACTTATACAACTACCAAAACATAAAGAAAGACAAATTTGAAAGACTTAAGAGCTCTCTGACCAATGCCATGCCTAACTACGATATTAGAGGACCAATGACTAAGAACGGTATCCAGTGCCTGAAAGAGAGGTGGGAATAGGAGATGCAAATTGAGATATAAGTTTTCTGACACAGCCAATACGTGGATTTGTTTTGTTTGACTATACTTATCTGTTACACGGACTTTTTTTTTTTTCAGATTGGGGGCAGTGATCTTGCAGAGTGTGGAGTTTGTGATAGCATGGACAAAAAAAAAAAAGAAAAGAGTCTTGTAGCATTTTAAAAAAACTCGATCAACAAGTATTCATTAAGTGACTATTATGGGCCAGGCACTGGGATTACAAGTCTAACAAATGAAACAATCTCTCCTAGAAATGAGCTTACTCACAGAAGAGAACAGGAAAATTTAGAAGACAAAAAGGCAGTGTGAAAATATTTTGGAGGTTAGAAAAAATAATAACAAGATTCATTCGGAAGAACAAAAGGTCTAGAATATCAAGGGAACTAATGAAAAGAAATGCAGGGGAAGGTGGCCTAGCCATTCCAGATCTTAAATTGTATTATAAAGCAGCAATCATCAAAACTGCTTGGTACTGGTTAAGATATAGAGTGGTGGATCAGTGGAATAGGTTAAATATGCAAGACACAGTAGTCAACGACTGTACTAATCTATTATTTGATACACCCAAAGACCCCCAGCTTCTGGGACAAGAACCCAGTCTTTGACAAAAATTGGTGGGAAAACTGGAAAAGAGCTTGGCAGAAATGAGGCATAGATCAAAATCTCACACCATATACCAAAATAAAGTCAAAATGGGTTCATGATTTAGATATAAAGGCTGATACTATAAGCAAACTGGGAGAGCAAGGAATAGTTTACCTATCAGATCCATGGAAAACAGAAGAATTCATGAGCAAACAGGAGACAGAGAACATTACGAAAAGCAAAATGGATAACTTTGATTACATTAAATTGAAAAGTTTTAGCATAAACAAAGCCAATGCAACCAAGATTAGAAAGAAAGTAGAAAACTGGGAAAGAATTTTTATAACCAGTGTCTCTGAGAAGGGCCTCGTTTTAAAAATATAGAGAGAATTAAGTCAAATTTATAAGAATACAAGTCCTTCCCCAATTGATAAATGGTCGAAGGATACGAACAGGCAGTTCTCAAATGAAGAAATTAAAGCCATCTATAGTCATATGAAAAAATGCTCTAAATCACTATTGATAAGAGAAATGCAAATCAAAACAACTCTGAGGTACATCACACCTATCAGATTGGCTAACATGACAAAACAGGATGATAAATGTTGAGAAGATATGGGAAAATTGGAACTAATGCATTGTTGGTGGAGTTGTGAAATGATCCCACCATTATGGAGAGCAATCTGGAACTATGCCCAAAGGGCTATAAAAATGTGCATATCCTTTGACCCAGCAATAGCACTTCTAGGGCTATATCCCAAAGAGATCATACAAATGGGAAAAGGACCCACATGTACAAAAATATTCATAGCAGCTCTATTTGTGGTGGCAAAGAATTGAAAATTGAGAGGATGCCCATCAACTGGGGAATGGCTGAACAGGTTGTGGTATATGAATGTAATGGAACTCTATGGTGCTATAAGAAATGATGAACAGGCTGACTTCAGAAAAACCTGGAAAGACTTGCATGGTCTGATGCTGAGGGAAGTGAGCAGAACCAGGAGAATGCTATACACAGTTAACAGTCATGTTGTGCAATGACTAATATGGATAAACTTAACCTTATCCAGCAATACAAGGATCTAAGACATCTCCATGATGGAAAATGCTGTCCACATCCAAAGAAAGAACTATGGAGTTTGAATGCAGATCAAAGCATACTATTTGCTATTTTTTTTTCTTCTGCTGAGTTTTGTTTCCTCTTTCTGGTAGTTCCTCCTGTTGGTTCTAATTCTTACTTACAACATCACTAATGTGAAAATATGTTTAATAGGAATATATATGTATAGCCCATATCAGATTTTGCGTCATCTTGGGGAAGGTAGTGGGGAGGGAGGGGGAGAAAAATTTTAGACTCAAAAACATATGGAAGTGATTGTTGATAAATCAAAATTAATTAATTAAAAAAATATTTTGGAGGTACCCTGTTTCCCAGACTAAGTTGCAGCAAGCAGGCTGTGCCCTGAGCTTGGCATAACAACAATTCTTAGTGCTCTGGATGATGTCACCTTCTACAAAGTGTATTCCTCTGACCAAGCAAGCATTAGGTGTTCACTGCCCTCTATTTCCCAGGGACCTAAAAGCCATCCATCACCATGCTTGACTTGCTCACAATTCCTGTTCCTTATAACAGCTAAGTGAACCAAACCAGACACCGTACTCTGCTGTGAGACAATCCACTTGGACACTGTTCCCACAAAACTGAAGAACATCTGCATCGTCCACACGTGAGGCTGCCAAGGGAACAGCTACTCAAGACCTAGGAATGATTATGTCATCATCCAGCCCACTGATGTACATAAGAACTGCCTGTACCCTAACAGGCAAAGCCCCTCCTTCTCAGGAGGGGGAGGGGCTTCCACTTGCAATTTTTTTCCTCACTCTGAAACTAATTAATCAGCTACTCGATTCTTAACACACCCATGTTTGGCTGGTCCCACTTCAGCTCCAGTCATTCAGCTCCAGTCATTCTCAGGTTAGGGACTATTCCAGTCCAGAATGCATTTAAAATTCTGTTGACAGCAGCTTTGAAACTAATGTATTGAATTTATGATATAATTTAAAAATATAAGCTATAGATCATGGAAATTTAGGGTTTCTGTGCAATCCTCTTTTTGGGTTCTTTGTATATGGAAATATTCATGTTTATTGATCTCTATCAAGTTCAGAATAACAAAAAGGTCTGCTTGTTCTAAAACTGGAAGCGATTTTAGTGTTGTTCTAGACTCACTCCCAGAAAGCACCCACCCCAACTCATCCATTTCTCCTACCAGCCTATTGTGATCTGCCTACCACAGGCAGTCCAGACTCTTTACTGGTTCCCACAAAAGACATGTTAATTCTCTCTCCCCAACTAACCAAATCCTGCCTATTTTAAAGGTCAACTCAAAATATACCTCCTTTAAGAAGTCTTCCTTAATTTCCTAATCCCAGATCAACATCTTCCTTCTCTGAATCTCTAAATACTCACTACTCATAGTCTGTACCTACTCAAACAGTGCTAGAAAATTCATAAATAAGGTATGTTAAATAGTTAGTCTTGCCTCTCAAGGAGACAGAAATCTCTGCAATAGACAAGACTGTCAATTAAGAGTCTTTTAAACTATTCATGGCAGCTTGTTCAGTACTGAGTGTGTAGGATTTTTACAAAACATTATTTTTAAATTCCAAGTTCTCTGCCTCCCTCCAGCCTTCATTTTTCATCCATTAAGAAAGCAAGAAATATGATACCTATTATATATACAAAGTTATGCAAAACATATTTTTGCATTAGGCATGTTCCAGGGGGAAAAAAAGCAAGAAAGATAAAGAAGGGGGGGGGAAAGCATGGTTCAAGAGGTATTCTGAATGTATCAGTTTTCCATCTGGAGGTGGACAGCATTTAACATCATGAGTCCTTTGGGGTTGTGGTAGATTACTGCACTGATCAGAGTTACTAAGTCTTTCACAGCTGATTATCTTTACAATACTGCTGTTACTGTGTAGAGTATTCTCAATCTACTCACTTCACTTTGAATCAGTTCATATAAGTCTTTTCAGGTTTTTCCAAAATTATTCCCTTCATAATTGTTTACAGCACAATAGTATTCCATCACATTCATTTATCATAACTCGTTCAACCATTCCCTAATTGATGAGTATCCCCTCAGTTTCCAATTCTTTGCCACCACAAAAAGAGCTCCTATACATATTTTTGTACATATAGATCTTTTCCTTTGTTCTCTTCAGTACCAAGTATATAGTTGAGGAACATGAACTCCTGAGGAAACAGATGGGCAAGGGCTGGAGGTAAAAAGCATTCCTTAAGGTCCCAGTCTCTAGAAGAAGGGTGGGGGTGGTGAGAGAATTGTCCATACTCCAAAAAACTGGGTATTATTTCAACAAAGAAAATCCAACTCATTGTGAACTGATCCAATCATTTGGAGAGCAGTTTGGAACTACGTCCAAAGGGCTATAATGCAGTGCATACCCTTTGATCCAGCAATACCACTACTAGGTCTGTATCCCAAAGAGATTATAAAAATGGGAAAAGGACCCACACGTACAAAAATGTTTATAGCAGCTCTTTTTGTGGTGGCAAAGAATTGGAAACTGAGGGGAAGCCCATCAATCGGGGAATGGCTGAACAAGTTGTGGAATATGAATATAATGGAATACTCCTGTGCCATAAGAAATGATGAGCAGGTAGATTTCAGGAAAACCTGGAAGGACATATATGAACTAATGCTGAGTGTAGTGAGCAGAACCAAGGGTACATCATACACAGTAACAGCAACAGTGTGCAATGATCAACTATGACAGACTTATTTCTTCTCAGCAATTCGATGATTCAAGCCAATTTCAAGGGACTTGTGATGGAAAATGCTGGCCACATCCAGAGGAAGAACTATGGAGTCCGAATGCAGATAGAAGCATACTTTTTTTGTTGTTTTTTTCTTTCTTGTAGTTTTTCCCTTTTTTTGATTCTTCTTTCACAACATGACTAATGTGGAAATATGTTTAACATGATTATACATGTATAAGTTATATCAAATTGCTTGCTGTCTTGGGGAAGGAACAGGGAAAGGAGAGAGGGAGAAAAATTCGGAACTCAAAATCTTATAAAAGTGAATGTTGAAAACTATCTTTACACGTAATTGGAAAAAAATACTATTAAGTTTAAAAAAAAAGAAAAGGAAAAAATCTAACTCACCTGACACCTAGATGTTGGACTCTCAGGAGCCATTCTGTTTTGGGTGAGTGCAGAATCCTCAGAAGGCAGATCTGGGAGGGAGAAAACATGAGAGGAGCCTGCATTTTCTCGATCTCAGACAAAATGAGAAACCCCCATCTCCATGAAGGGATTTGAGACTACATCAGGGGTGGGGAATCTGCAGCCTTGAGGCCACATGTGGCCCTCGAGTTCCTCAAGTGAGGCCCTTTGACTAAATCCAAACTTCACAGAACAAATTTCCTTAATAAAAAGGTTTATTCCATAAAACTGGATTCAGTCAAAAGGCTGCACCCAGGGCCACAGGTGACCTCAACACGGCAGGTTCCCCACCCCTGGCCTAGAAAAAAAAGAATGGCCACCCGTGTGCCCCTCCTCCCAGGATAAAGGGAAAGGGCCACAGGAGAGGTTGAATTTCACACTTCAACAACTAAAAAGTGGATTCATGAGAAACATTTCCTTCTGACTTCCAAACATATGTGCACTCTTCTACAGGGGAGGAGGTCATAGGATCAGAGAGTAAAGCCTAGAAGAGATTTAAGAGATCATTGCATCCCCTGTTTTATAGATGAAGAAACTAAGGCCCAGAGAAATCATGCTATTTGTACAAGGTACAGGCAGCACATGGTAAGGCCAGGATTAGCATCCAAACCTCCCAAATCCAGAGTGCTTACCAACACACCAGGCAGCACGTGGGAAGCCCCTGACCCCTGCTAGTGGAGAGTCACTGCTGGGAAGGAGGAAGTGTGACCCCAAAGCCAAATTAACCTGCCAAAGGTAACAGTTACTGAACGCTGGTCATAGACCAAAATGCCCACTTCTTGTATGGGTCGAACTCTTGGAAGAAGCCTGGCCTGGCAGGTCAGACACAAGGCTTGGAGATGACTGAAGACGCTCTCTCTCTCTTAAGTGGAGAGGTGAGAGTAGTCACTCCACCTGGAAAGCTGGAGCCTGGCACATCTGGAGCATTTTCTGGAATTCCTGAGGAGATTCAGACAGGGTCTGCTGTCTGGACTTCCTGGTATGTGAAGGGAAGGCAAGGAGAGGTGTAAAGAAAACTGGGGATTAAATGAAGGAGATAACCGAGGAGGAGCTGGAGGAGTAAGAGAGCCTAAAGGAAGAGGAAAAAAGAGAAACAGGAAAATGGAAGAGGATAAGAGAAGTGAAGGAGGGGAAAGGAGGAGGAGAGAAAGGGAAGAAAATAGAGAAGAGGAGAAAGGGAAGAGAAAAAAGGAGGGGAAATGGGATGAAGAAGAGACAGGGGAGATGGGAAGAGGGGGAAGCTAGGAGGAGGAGAAACTGAAGGAAAGAAAGGGAGGGAGAGAAGCTGAAGGAAGGGAAAGAAGGGGAGGGGAAGAGAAAGGGAAGAGGTGATATGGAAGAAGAGCAAGGGAAGAAGGGAAAGAAAGAAAAGGAGGAGGGGAAGAAGAGAGAAGACGGAAGGGAAGAAGCTGATAAGAGCAGTTGGTCAATAAACATTTATTAAGCACCTATTATGTACCTGGTACATCAGTTCTCCATCTGAGCACTGAGGCAAAAGATAGTCGACACAAAACGTAAGTAAGTATGTACCAACAATCTCAGTACAGGATAATAGGAAGTGATCGATTAGAGGAAGGCACTAGACTTACAAGAGATTGGGGAGAAAACTAGGACTTGACAGCGGCCAAAGAAGCTGGGAGGTAGACATGAGGAACCTTCTGTGTATGGGAGACAGCCGTTGAAATTGCCTGGAGTTGGAAGATGAAGCGTCTTGTTCAAAGGCCAGCAGGGAAGCCAGTGTCACAGAATCTGAGTACTTGGTGGGACATAAAGTATAGGAAACCTGGAACGCTTGGGGGAGGGGGGAGGTTAGGAACCTGCAGACCAGAGGATTTTATATTTCAAAATGGAGGAAACAATAAGCCACTGGAGGGGGGTGACACCGTCAGACCCGCGTTTTAGAAAAATTCCTGTGGTGGCGGAATAGAGTGAGAAGGGACTCGAGGCAGAAAGGCCCACCAGTGACTACTGCGAAAGTCCAGGGCTGAGGAGATCAGGGCCCGTACCAGGAGGGGCGCCCTAGCAAGGGGGAGAGGAGGGCATGTGTGAGAGATGTGGCGAGAGCGGAATCCGCAGACTGGATGTGCAGGGGCGAGGAATCAAGGACAGCACACTAGGCCAGGCATGGCGGTCAAGTTCGGACTCAAAGGGCCGCAGGTTCCCCACCCTGAACTAGCCAACGGAGAAATCTGGGAGGGGAAGAGGCTGGGGAGGGATGGCAGTCCAGTCTTGGGCACGCTGGGCGTAAGATGTCTCCTGGACATCCAGTCTGAGGCGGGAGGCTGGTGATCAAGACAGACCGGGAGGGACAGGCTTGGACGGCTCCCCCAGTGAGTTCGTGCACAGCGAGGGCCGGAGGACCCGAGGGCCCAGGACACAGCACCTAGGCTCCTTGGGCGAGATCTGGAGGAGGAGCAGCCAGGAGGGGGGTGGGGAGGGGAGAGGGAGCAGCGACGGCCAGGGCTGCAGGGGGGGAACGAGGACCCTGGATAACTCTGGGGAGGGCGGTTTCGGTGGCAGGCGAAACCAGACCGCAGAGTCTAGAGGCAAAGGAGAGAAAGGGGGGAGGGGAAAGGGGCGGGGAAGCGCAGAGCGGAGGGAGGAAGGGAGGGGCGGGGCCTCGACAAGCCCCGCCCCCGGGGCCAGTGGAGGGCGGGGGCAGGACGCCGGGGAGCTGCCCTGACACTCACCTGCCAGACGCCCTCGGGCCTCAAGCCTAAGGGAGAAAGACAGCTAGGAGGCGGAAGTCCTTCCGAGGGCACTTCCGGCCCTAGTTCAGACATTTCCGGCCGGTCCCGCCGGCATTTCCTACGGTATCATTAGGGCCCAAACGAGAACAAAGACCCCCTCCCCAAGGTCTTCTGGGAAAGGTAGTCCACAGGCCAAGAGCACCTTTGCGCATGCCTAGATCTATTTGCCAGCTGAGGGCAGAGGATCAGGGCAGATCGTGGGGAGAGGGAGCTCGGCGGGAAGGAGACCGGACGTGCGACAGCTGCCTTCCAGAGGCCTTTCCGGTTCCGCTGGTGTTCGGGGCCCCCACGAGTCACTTTATCTGTGCGTTGCCTGCTCTTATGTGATACCATATGGGACCCATATTGGCGTGTCATTTAACTTCTCCCTGCCTCAGTTTCTTCACCTATAAAATGGGGATCACAGGGACTTTGTGAGGATCAAGTGAGATACCATATGTAAAGCATCTTGCAGACCTTAAGCCACTCCACACAGGATAGCTATTATAGGTGACTAAGAGCCAGCAGGCAAGGTGGCTAAAGGCCCCACAGCTGGAGTGGAGGAACTGTGATCCAGCCCCCACCACTATGGACTGATGTGACCTTCACATCCTCATCTGTGGAATGGGTGGGGCGAGCCAGGGGGCCGCCGAGGGCCCTCCCAGCTCTATACTCCTATGTTTAGGTGGCCCCTAGAACGTAAGCTCCATGAGGACAAGATCTCTTCCTTGGTAGCCCTGGCACCTAGAACAGCGTCTGACACATAGGAGGAACTTCAATTCCAGGAAGATTCACCTGAAATGGATGAACTGCTCTTAGCCAATGCCACATTTGATCCCCACCGGCCCATCTTTAATCTGAGCCTTGTTAATAAATAAATAATAGTGATGGGAGAAGCCTGGTGGTACAAGTGGTAAAGAGAAAAAAAAGATTAGCATCAGATATCACAAAAGTCCTTTTAAAAGTGCAGGGGGTGATATCAAAGCAGTTCACCGTACATTTCCTGATGCTGATGGACAAGAGCACCAAGATCACCGAGCCTCCTCATAGGTCAGGGGCACTGGCAGTGACATGGCTAAGAAGTCATGAGTAGCTTATGTTCAGTCTGTCCCAGGATCTAGGTTCATCTTGACAACCGCCCCATGGTCTCATCCAGTCAGTGTTCCCTGCCCCTTCTGGGAGCCCCATCAGAGGGACAATACCAGACTCCTGCAGGTTTAAAAGCCATTGCTGAAGGGCTGCTTATTTCGGGGCTGAATAAAGATGCCCTTTCATTTTTCATCAAGGAATTTAGTATGGCCACTAAGTTAATGAAAGTAACCCTTACTTCAAAGTAGATTCACGTTGCTCATAATTGTGTCAACCTAAAGGGAACTCTCCAACGTCCACAAAAGACATGGCCTTAGGCTTGTGCTACTCAACATTTTTTACCAATGGCTTGGAAGAATTCCCAGATGGCACACATTAACTATTATCCAAACGCTGAAAGGATCATGGAGTCAAAGATGTAGAGGTAGAAGAACTTCAGACTCCATTCAATCCAGCTCTGTTGAACCTGACACCCAGAGACCTCAAGCGACCTGCCCAAAGTCATAAAGGTATTAAGATTTAAACCCCAGAATCTCAGAGTTGGGAGGGACCTCAGCAGTCATCTAAACAGTCCAGCCCATAAAGGAATCCATTCCAACACAACCCTACAAGTGATCTTCCAGATGCTCCCTAGAGATCTCCAAGAAAGAAATGAGCAGGTAGATTTCAGAAAAACCTGGAAAGGCTTGCTTGAACTATGCAAAGTGAAATGAGCAGAACCAGGAGTACACTGTACATGGTAACAGCAGTACTGTGTGATAATCAACTATGAATGACTTAGCTCTACTCAGCAATACAATGATCTAAGACAATTCCAAAGGACTAATGATGGAAAATGCTGTCCACATCCAGATAAAGAACTGATGGATTCTGAATGCAGATCAAAGCCTCCTATTTTCACTTACTTTAGGTTTTTTTGTGGGTTTTTTTTTCCCTTTTGATCTGTTTCTTCTTTCAAAACTGACTAATATGGAAATGTTTTACATGATTGTACATGTATAATCTCTATCAATTTGCTTTTTATTTTAGGAAGAGTGGAAAGGAGAGAGAGAGGGAGAAAAATTCAGAACTCAAAATCTTGTAAAAAATGAATGCTAAAAATTGTCTTTACATATACTTGGGAAAAAAATAAAATACTACTAAAAAAAATCTCCAAGAAAAAGGCACCCACCATATCTTGAGGCAAACCAAATTATGAGGAAGTTTTTTTCTTGACATTGAGCCTAAATTAAAATGTTTACCCCAATCCTGACTCCAAATCAAATATTGTTTCCACTGTACCATGTGACTGGATAGTCAATGGGTTAGAAAGAATACAAAAATTAAACTCATGTACGGGGTACAATGCTAGGTACTATGGTTACAATGGCAAAAATGAAAAGTTCTCTGTCCTCATGGAACTTACCTTCCCCTGGAGAGACGAAGGGTAATTTGAGGAGGGAAAGAGCACACTAACAACTTGCTATTCATTTTTAAATTGTGGAATTAATCTGTTGTCTCATTTCTTTTAAGTCACAGATGCTTAATAATTTTATCCTGCCCATAATTGCAAAAATTAAATATTCTTTTTTAAAAAAATAGTTTGTGGGGGGCCAGCTAGGTGGCACAGTAGATAGAGCACCAGCCCTGAACTCAGGAGGAGCTGAGTTCAAATCTGGCCTCAGACCAAACACTTGACACTTACTAGCTATGTAACCCTGGGCAAGTCACTTAACCCCAATTGCCTAAAATTTTTTTAAAAAATTTTTTAAAAAAATTAAAAATAGTTTTGTGGTTTGATCTTTCTTTTAATTTTGATTACTGATCCAATGGGAATTTATTGTGGAATGAAGTCCAAGTGGCTCTGCTATTTCCTTTTTTTTTTTTACCAAACTGCTAATCATTTTCCTCAGGAGTCTAGATAGGAGTTATTCTTATCACCAGAACATAATTTAAGTCAACAAACATTTGTTTAAAACCTACTACATCCCAGGCACTGTGCTAAGTGCTGGGGATACAAAGACAAAAACACTAGCAACTGTCAGCTTTGAGGAACTTACAATCTACTGAAGGAATGCAACATGTCCACGGACAAGAAAATACAGATGGTATACAAAGCAATGCAAATTAATTTTAAGAGGTAGACAGCATTCATGCCTGAGGAGGCAGCAAAGGCCTCGTGGAGGGGTGGCACCCAACCTCGGAGCTGAAGGATAGGAAATATGAGAAGTAGAGGCAAAGCAGAGTACATTCTAGACACAAAGAAGAGCCTGCAGAAAGGAACTGAGAGGGCAGATTGAATGCTGTATCTGAGGAATAGATGAAAGGCCAGATATACTGGAGAATCAGAGACTTTTAAAGAATCACAAAAATGATGAAGCACAGCAATCTGTAGGAACTTCTAGGTTTGCCAGTTAAACTATATATTTATTTACTCTCTATAGACAAGCCTCGCTAAGTTCAAGAGGTCATCACCAGACTGGCTACAGGGAGATAACATTTTTCAACACAGAAGCTTTTGGGGGCCTTCCTGTTCAGTCACGTCTGACTTCGTGACCCTGTGGACCACAGCTTGCCAATGCTGTCCATGGGGTTTTCTTCACAAAGAGGTTGTTTGCCATTTCCTTCTCTGGTGGATTAAGGTAAATAGATGTTAAGTGACTTGCCCAGGGTAACACAGCTAGTAAGTATCCAGGGCTGGATTTGAACTCAGGTCTTCCTGACTCCAGACCCAGTTCCGTATCCGCTGAGCCACCTAGCCACCTCCAAGGCCTTCTACTAGGAGACATTCTACTGGGTTTTAAAGGATCTGTGAAAAAGAGGAGATAGGATCCATACAGATGAAGTCAGATTTCCATAAGAATGCCTATCAATATGGTACCCAATCACTTTACACAACTGTACCATGAGGGCAGGAATTGTGTCTTAGCTAAAATGTGTATCTTCTTCACTGCCTTACAGAGTTCTGCAAATAAGCACCTGATAAATGTTTCTCGAAGCAATGCTTTCAAGCCCTCTCCACTCAGACAAGCGGTGCCTCTCTGAAGTTTCTCTAGAATCTAACATTAACCATTCAACAGATAATCTATCAAAGCTTGTTAAGAGCAGTACAGGGAAGAGACACCTAACAGAACTGATGGTGGTATAAGGAGAAACAAGACGTTTGTCTCTAATGCAGCAAGGTAGACAGAAGGTAAATAAAGGAGGTCCTTAGCATTCGTGGAGCTAAAAGGGAGACATGCAAAGGAATGTCTCAAAGCGTCCTCGAGCATCACATAAAGCTAGAGGGGGAAGGGAGAAGGGGCCAGAGGAAGGACACTGAAGCCAAAAAAGTTATGCTATCTTATAATGCAGTAAGAAGCAAAGCACGGAGAATGAGAGGTGACAGCAGTGCTCTGCTCTGCAAAGACCACATCTAAAGTATTGCATTCAGCTGCCAGTATCATGATTCAGGAATAACTCAGATACTCTGGAGTGTGTCGAGAAGCAGGTAGGGAAGGTGAGGTTGAATAGCCTAGAGAAGAAAAGGCTTACAGGAGACTTGCTAGCAGCTTTCAGGTAAGTGAAGAGCTTTCATGTGGAAAAAGAATGTCACTTCTCCAGCTGTTGCCACCCACTCCAATTTGCCCCAAGCGCCCGGAAGTACAGCGGCTGACTCAGAACATCTGACCTTGACTGGCTAAAACCAGATGGAGCGTAATTCCCTATCTAGGGTTGGTTCTCTGCCAGCTGAGTGCTGGATTTCATGCCTTAGATACACATTTCTTGCTCTTCTGATGTGTTAATTCGTGGATTTTAAGAACAGCTATTTCTCCAAAGGAACATGCAGTGGTTATAGTTCTTAACAAGCACTCTTAAGTAACTGTTAAGAGAGATAGCAGTGGTTTTTCTGTGGGGAAGTCAAGCGTGTCAAAGAGCACTCAAGAGCAAAAGAAAATGAACAATTTCACTGAAGTGAAAAGTTTAGTTGAAAATGAAAATCACAAGAGGGGGACAGCAACTATATGTGCAACCATCATCCCAGCAACAACTCTAAACTCACCACTTCATCTTATTGGTTGGGCTCCACTTTGTGAAAACATGCCCATGGGAAGTAAAAAAACCAAACCAAACCAAGAGATGTTGTTACAGAGAAGAATGGAAAAAACGATAGAAGTTGA